AGGGAGAGAGGGGGGGAGAGAGAGAGAGAGAGAGAGAGAGAGAGAGAGAGAGAGAGAGAGAGAGAGAGAGTCAGTGGTTGGTCTGAATCAAGCCTACTGCCAGCTGCTTTGTAAGGTATCAAGGCCAATGAATGGGTTGAAGATTCAGATCTCGATTCCTACACATTGGAAGCATTTCCTCCGCTTTCTAGATTCTGCATTCTGTTTCTGTCACCCCAAAGAAATAATTTCCTCCAGCCCAGGGGTGGGCGGGGATCGTCCTTAGAGCACAGCCTGCATCCTCCTGTGTGACCACCACACATCAGGTGTATTTCAGTTTGCAAGACAGATGGACTTCCTCCTGATGTTAAGTATCAACTTCGTGACCAGTAGCGCTACGGCAAATTTACCATGTATGTGTCCAGAATGTTCTGAGCAGAGCCGTTTGCAATAGCACTGCTGTTACAAATGCTAAATGGCCCCCAAAGGCCCAGCTCCGCACTCTTGGAAAGGGGTAAAAAAAATTTAGGAGTTGGGGCTTCGTGGGGAGTTTTCAAGTGACTGGAAGCATGTGTTCAAAGGTGGCTGTGGTCCCCCAAGTCCCTTCCACCTCTCTTTACCCCTCCTCTTGTCCCTGACTATGAGATGAGAGGTTTTATTCAATGGTGCACTCCCTCCTTGATGCACCACCTGACCGCAGGCCCAAAGCAACAGGGCTAACCAATCCTGGACTAGAAATCGGAGAATGTGAGCCAAGAGAAACCTCTTCTCTTTCTGAGCTGATTGCCTCAGGCATTTGTTACACACAATTCACCACTCACTATCCCAGTGCCCACTCACAGGAGACGGGACAGACTGACCATAGCCTCCTCCTACAGTGGGATGTTCTACAGCAGGCAGAGCGAACAACCTACAACTACATTCACTGAGTCTGACCACAACAGCATTGACCTGGGGTTGCAGCTTAATAGTGGAGCCTGGATCACTATATGCGAAGCCCTGGGACTGAACCGACCCCCAGTACTGAAAAAAAAAATGAGCAAAAAATGCAAAACACTGTGTGCTGTTCTGCTCATGTCAAGTACAAAACAAACAAACAACAAACACCTTGCGGATTCCTTCTGGCTAGTAGGAATTTGGGCCACCATGACTAAAAATAAGTGTCCATGGTGTTAACGCAATCCACTCTTGAGCTGGGCACTGTTACCTGTGTCTGCTCAGTTCATGGGAAGTTGTTGAGCGGTGTGCTTCCTGGAAACATTTCCCTATAGCAATACCACACTTCTGTGGGAACGTTTCCATGGCACCAGCAAGGCATTGGCCATCTGGCTGTGTGATACATGATGGACTTACTCATCAGTGGGATCAGACTGGATCAGACTGGCAAGGAGAGGTTGGTTCTATTTGCTGGTCTCTTCAAACCCCAGTAAAATACATTTTAGAATATATA